GCACTGTGTAACTGCCTCGAGGGTGCTTGACCATTTTAACACAACGTGGTGCAATCATCGCCCTTGCGCGGAGTGCGGGTTCTCGACCCCACACAACATGATCTACTCGATCACCATTATGGTTACCGCCAAAANATGACATAAATTATATTCTGGTGCTTCACTTCCAGAGACGTTGTAAGCACTGTGTAACTGCCTCGAGGGTGCTTGACCATTTTAACACAACGTGGTGCAATCATCGCCCTTGCGCGGAGTGCGGGTTCTCGACCCCACACAACATGATCTACTCGATCACCATTATGGTTACCGCCAAAAAAAAAACAGACGTATAAAAAACCGTCATCTGGTTGCCGAGTTCACGAAGTGAATTGGCTTGTTTTACAACGTCGTTGCCAAGCGACGAAACCCAATCCCGATGGTGGGGGGGGGGGAGGGAAAGGCAAATTACACGAAATCTTGCCGGAGAGATGACCGTCGACTGTCGCACTCTGCCAAGAGCAATATGCAGTAGTACATGCTTCAGTAAACAAAGGCGCAAGTGGCGGTCATTGCCTCCCGACTCCTTCAAAAAGGGAAGCGAACTGATATACACAAGAACTATCCAGGCGAAACACCCGAAGGGATGCAAACCAACGGACCGTGAAGGTGCCAGAGAGGGGAGAAAGCACGCAACACACCGCACACCACACACCTGATTGGCATCCAGGGTCACAACCCGCAGTCCACCAGCCCTCTGCAAGTGGTAGGCCACGCTGAGCCCTGCCTGTCCAGCCCCGACGACCACGGCATCAACCCTTGTGGCGCCGGCGCCACCTCCGCCTACGCCGTTCGCCATCCCGGTGTAGGCCGCCGCAGCGGGGGCCAGGAGCGACGACGAAGACGACGATGGGGTTGCCATTGCTCCCGCCGCTGGCCTAGGACCACCAGGGGATGAAGCGCACGCCGCGACGGAGGAGACCGCTCGTCTTGGACCGCTGGCTCCGCTGGCGTTCCTGGAGGAAGACGCCGTGGATGGCGACAACGCCGCCGCCGCCGCAGGGGTTTCCGACGTGGGCGGGTTTCTTCCCCCTCCATCCCCGGCTGACGATTGTGCCGCAGCCTCGTGCCGGCGACAACTCGTGGAAAACAGGTTCCGAGTTGTTGTCGCCTTGTTGACGGCAGTTGTGCGCCCACCCACGACAAAAGGGGCTACGCGCGACGAGGGATTTCGAGCGGTGGAGGAAGGGGTGCGGCCATGGTGTTTCGCTGATGCTGAAGCTGCTGCTGCTGCTGCTGCTGAAACTGCGGTTTTGCTTCTAACAGCTAGGGTGTTCAGTTGACGGTTGAGGGCCCCGGACATGGCGTTGGAGGTTCGGAGAACAAGTCTTTCGGCACTGACGCGGGCCCTCAAGAGCCAAGTGTTACGCCTTATTCTTTCTCTCTAATAACGCTGCTCTTGAAGACAAAAAGCTGAAACGATTGATATCAACAACCGACCCGTGCACTCTTCCTTTTTCGTCGTTTCGAGGCAGGCAGCGGGAGAAGTTACGCTCGATGTTCGTCAGATCACAATTTCACAAGACGTTGTCGAACTTGCCAACTACCTCTGTATAAAACTGCGCTACAGATCAGGTCTTGGGCGTTCCCTGCGCAGGGGGTGGAGTGGTGAGAGTTGCACAGAAACAAGGCGTACAGAGAGGGGGGGGGCAGCAGGGCGAGCAGGCACGGGTAGGGGGCGGAGACAGTGAGCTCGGAAGGCAAGGGCGTGAGTCTCAGCTGTGGACGACGGCCCCAACCAACGCTGGGACCCTAGGCGTCATCAACGAAAGGAAGAAAGCAGGATGAGGGGCAACCTCCGGTTGCCGTGAATAAATGATATAAGTAGAGATACCTTTTCTGTGTGTGAATTTATTTTTCCCAAGATACCCAGGGCGAGAGCATGGTAGGTTAGGACGTATCTGTTGAAAAAGATTGATTTGTGTCTCTTGAATCCGGCCTCATTTCTCACAAGAAGGCCCCCGACAGCTTTTCGTGAGGTACCATCTTGAAGGTACAAAACGCACCCCAGCCTCTGCATCTCGAAGTACCGCTGTAGCGTACACTCGTAGAGCCTCAGTTGCGCCCCTCCCAAGTGGACTACGCAAAAAAACTGAAGTTGCAATTTCGAGTAGGCGATCTGGACTTGCCAGAACGGAGGAAGAGGTACAGCAGCCGTAGGAGAGAGGAAGAGGATAGACAGACATGTCCATGTGGCAAATCGGAGGAGAGTAGACCCCACATAGTTGGGGAGTGTGAGCTGTACAGGAAGGAAAGAGAGGATCTCAAGGAGGACATGAGACAGAGAGGGTGTGACATGGACAAGTTTGGTAAATTAGACAACAGCGAAAAAACGATCGCGGTAATTGGCGATAGATGGTGGGCACAAGAGGCCGTAGTGAACGGGGATAAGATGTGCAAGAAATTTTTATGAAGTTTGTGGCAGAAACGTAAAGAGCTCCCCAATGTTGGTGGTGTCTCTAGTAGGGGTAGGAACGGTGCTCCGTCTCGAAAGGGACGAGTGGTCAATGGTCAAATGACTACGGCAAGCAACAAATGAGTACGCCCTTCC